TAAAGTATGATAAGTTCACTTAAAGAAAACTTACGAGTATACTTGCAGTATAAACTAAACTAGTAGTTTACTGAGACTATACTTTAAAGTGTACTAAAATTCTACTACAAGTATTTAATTAGTAAACTATCAGTGTACCTATAGGTTCACTTTTAGTATAGTTGCAGTACAAGCTAAAAATATAGATGTAAACTAGTTGTGTACTCAAAGTTTACTACTGTTATACTTAAAGTATACTTCATAGTATACTTTATATACTAGAAAGTGGGCCAATTTAGTCCCAAGGAGTATTGAAATAGTACACTTGCAAGTATACTACTAGTACACCGATATTTGTATACGTACTACATAAAATGTACTTAAAAATATACTTGAACTTTACTTAAGTATACTTAATAAAATAAACTTGAAGTATACTACTTTTTGGTAAGGGTCATCCTGGTGTTGTTCTAATATTGAATGGCCTTTTATCTTCATCGACCCACAAAAAGAGAATTGGAAAAAAAAATGCTCATCCATATAAAGGCAGCGAAATAGTGAGCAGCGTCAAGCTTTTTAAAAGAAAACAAAACAAAACAAAAAAATATCACAGACTGATCCAATGTGACACGTGCCATATTTTCCAATTGCTCTGGGGGTATATAATAAGGTTTGGTGAAAAATAAACCAAAAATTGAATGCATTATTTAAGAAAAATCCTGACCTTGGCCATTGGTCTTTCATGCTCGACTGTTTCATGCAAGAGCCAGAGTGTTTTAATAAATGTGAAGTGTTAACATGATTAGTGTTGTCAGCTAATGTATTAAATTTAGATATGTAAAAGTAGTGAAGCATTTTTTAAGTTTTATGTTTCAATACAAATGCAAAACAATATATAATTAATTGTCTTGTTTACAACCTTGCTTCATTCTATGAATCAGCGTTTTTAATGAACTTTCTCTTAAAGTCAGTCGCTTGCTGCCACCTACTGGCGAAACTATGTAACCTGCACCGACATCGTTGATAAATCCCCATCATTAAGATACAGAACGTTTCTCAATTTAAAAAAAAAACTGCAAGATTATTGTATTCCATTCATGAAAAATTCCAGGGGCAAATACTTTATATAAATTAGTCAAACACTCATAATATTGTATAGCAGTTGTCTACATGGTTCACTTCAGTGTCCTTTCCCTTTACATTTGTCTCTTGGATTTTATATGATTTACTGAAAATGAACGCTTTTAAACTTTCATTTTAGACCTGATGGAGGAGAATGAGGAGAGTAAAGAATTGAATGAAGTGGAGGGGAAACTTCATGATGTTAATTCTGGAGTCTCACAGACTGAAAGTTTTTTACTGAAAAGAAGATGCAAAGAAACTTTCACCTGCCGTCAGTGTGGAAAACGTTTCCCACACAAAAGAAGTCTTAACCTTCATATAAGACTTCACACAGGACAGAATCTGCACACATGTGATCAATGTGGGAAAAGTTTCACACAAAAAGGACACCTTAAGGAACATGTGAAAATCCACACCGGAGAGAGAAGCCACGCAAATGTGATCAATGTGGAAGGAGTTTCTCACAAAAAGGACACTTTAATGAACATCTGAGAACCCACACTGGAGAGAATCTGCACACGTGATCAATGCGGGAAGAGTTTCACAAACCGAAAAAAGTCTTAAACTTCACATGAGAATTCATTCTGGAGAGAACCAACATACATGTGGCAAGTGTGGGAAGAGTTTTGCAGATGTAAGTGCTTTCATATTACATGCGTGTTGTCATTCTGGAGAGAGAACATTTAATTGTGATCATTGCAGTAGTTTTTTTGGGAGGGCAAATTCCCTCAAGAGGCACCTGAAAATGCATACACAAGAGAAGCCTCACATGTGTTCTTTGTGTGGAAAGAGTTTTTGTGAGCTGGGCGCATTACAGTTACACCAGAAAAGACACAGCGGTGTGAAGAATCATATGTGCTTTGATTGTAGGAAGACTTTTCCTACAGATGCTGAACTGAAACTGCACCAGAGAATTCACACTAGAGAGAAGCCTTACAAGTGTTCACACTGTGACAAGAGTTTCAGTCAGTCAGGACATCTGAAAACACATGAGAGGATCCACACTGGAGAGAAGCCTTACAAGTGTTCACACTGTGACATAAGATTCAGGCTTGTACCATCTCTAAATAAACATGAAAGGATCCACACTGGAGAGAATTCCATGTGGGGAGAGTTTCACTCAATTATCTCCATCATAAAAAAACAAAACAAATGTCTGCAATCATGATAAATAGTCCATGTTGTGATCCAGGACTTTCAAGTGTGATGCTGGATCCTCACGTAATGTGACCCTCAGTGTTGTGCTTAGAACATCTAGTTATGTGACCACAAATTACATAGGCTATTTACCGAATGCAAATATAAGATTATACTATCTTGAAGCTTTTCAGCTGTCCATTTCTCTTCTTTTGTGTTGTTTTAACTAATTTGTAAGTAAATAAAGAGAGAGATCTATCTATTTGTTTTTTGTTTACTTATTTTTATATATTTTTTCACCAGCTAATCATTCAATAAACGTGTTACTCATTTCTTCAACAACATTTATTGTCCAATTTTATTGTTTTTCTACAAATCTACAAAAAAAAAAAAAAAAGAGGTTTTGCCTTTGCTTGCAAAAGGTTTGGATTCCCATGAGAAATTCTGTAATTCTCCCTCAGAAGTTTTGCTATTCCATGTCAAAATATTTGAGATGTCAGTCAAGGAGGCGTTTACAGTTCACAGAAGGTAAGGCTAGTCATCCGTTATTCCTTACTTACAGGATGTGCCCTTGTACACAATATAGTTGACATGAGCAATTAAACGCCAATGAACAACAAAGACAGTCATTGTGGTTTATCTTGAGGAGACCTGCTGTACAAGCCAGCAGCTGTAAACGCGAAGCTTTCACCTGCACACCCAAATCTAGTTCTACAACTCATTCTTTATTTTATTTCATTGTATATAAATAATGTTCATTTTACATCAGTGTGCTGGCATTAAAGTAAGTAAAATAAATGAAACAAATTAATAAATCTAGTACGATCTGTCTATTTTAACTTCTCAGTCCTTAGACTGGTATTTCACAAGTTAATTTGCGCTTTATATAGGCTACAAGATACAATACTGGGGAAAAACTGTCTGATTGTTATGTAGGCTAATATAATGTAAAGCAAACGCTGGGGTTCATTTCTTTTGATTCATGCTGAAGCAGTCACGTGGTTTTCAGACGAGCGAAGCTTCGACGTCATAGATCACGTGCTTCAGGCGAAACGAATCCAGCTCCGATACAGCGCTTTATTATGAAGCTTCGGAGCTTTGCGTTGAACGTTACATCACTATACAGCGCTATTTGTGCACATTTCAGGCGTTTGCCGTCGGAAATGGACGTTTCGCAGGCAACAATGTACATATGTTAAAAGAAGACCTGAGTGTTTGTGAATCAATATAACAACCGATTTATTTATATGTTTCATTTGACCAGATCTGCTCTTCCTATCACACAAGAATAACCACTCTTCTCCTACAGCAATTCATCAGTAAATGCTGGAATATTCACATCACCCTAAAAAGTGAAGAAGATAGAGTTTAAGAAAGAGCAGAGAGAACATGAATGAACCCTGCAGAATAAAACAAGAAGATACTGAAGAACAAAGAGGTTGGTGTTTATTCTTGTTTCTTCATTAAAGATGCTGAAGAACATTAACCTATAACACATGAACATCACAGGGACGTCTATTTGATGCCAAGCAGTTCATCAGATTTAGTGTTGTAGTTAGAAAATTCGTAAGAGCTGTGAAATAAGAGTTAAAGGAAATTTCCATTAAATTAGTACATAATGATGCTTTCCTTTCTTTAGTTGTTAACAAATGGTCAGTGAAATAAGGTTTGAGAAACATTCATATTGATTGTTGTCAACATCAGGAGGTTGGACTACATATTAGGGGTGTGCCGGTGTCCTGACATTTTATCTACCCGTCAGATTGTCCTACCAGGGTTTACTGCGCATGCGCACATCAATATTATGTCATTTTTCTCATGCTGAACAACATTTAATGTATCTGCATTACTGTAAGGGTAGGTTTAGGGTTGGGGTAGGTGCAGACTTTAATAAACCATCATTTTACAGGTTTGTCGAATTGTACTACCCACTGTTTTAATGGGAGGTAACAAAATCTGACAGGGTAGCTAGCACTCAGCCGTTAGCAGTTCCCCACGGAACAGGACTCCAGCTCGGGCAGGAGAGCCAGCCGCGTTACGGTGGAAACGGAGTAACAGAGACTGGTCGATTACACCTGAATTACTTCTGATTAATGTTTAATTTGTACTTTTAATGTTTATTAAACGAGTTTAAATAGGCAATATGTATACATAAATACGATAAACAATGCTGTAAATGATAAATAAAGGAAAATAAAGGAAGTTAAGTTATCATGCAAACCAGTGAATGTGTGGAGTATTTTACAAAAGTTTAGAGGATTTAAGTTAACCTGTAAACATTATTTCATGTATAAAGTAAAAAATAAGCTATATTATAATAAAAATGTATCAACCCATTATGATGGGTTAAATAAGCAACCCAATTTGCTGGGTAAAATTAACCCCAAATGTGTTCTGTCCTATATTTACCCAGCCCTTGGGTTAAAAACAACCCAAATTGGGTTGTTTTTAACCCAGTGTTTTTTGGTTTGTATCTAATAGTTATTAATACAAAAACCTGGAATTTGTGCCTGAAATGGGAAGATCAGTCTACAAATAAATGCATTAAAATGATCAGTAATGAGTTATGCTATTATATCAGGGTTCACTCGTGTGTTCTTTTCCTTCAAACTTATCTTTCATGATTTTCTCATTTTATGATTGACTGAAAATCAACCCTCTTTTACTTACATTTTAGACCTGAAGGGAGAAATCAAGGAAAGTGAAGAAATTGCTGAAGCGGAGGAGAAACATGATGTCAAATCCGTAATAAAGTCTTCGAGCCACTCACCAAAAAGAAAAGGCAAGAAGTCTTTTACCTGCTTTCAGTGTGGAAAGCGTTTCTTATACAAACAAAGTCTGAAACATCACATGAGAATCCACACTGGAGAGAAGCCGTATACATGTGATCAATGCGGGAAGAGTTTCGCACAAAAAGGAGGCCTTAAATATCACATGAAAATCCACACTGGAGAGAAGCCTTACACGTGTGATCAGTGCGGGAAGAATTTCACACTTGCCGAAAGTCTTAAATTACATGTGCGTTCTCATTCTGGGCAGAGGCCATATAACTGTGATCAGTGTGGTAAAACGTTTATTAGGGTAGCATCCCTGAAGAGGCATCTGAAAGTTCATACAAAGGAGAAGCCTTATGTTTGTTCTCTGTGTGGAAAGAGTTTTAGTCAGATGGGCGCTTTAAATACGCACCAGATAAGGCACAGCGGTGTGAAGAATCATATGTGCTTTGATTGTGGAAAATCCTTTGTTAGAGATGCTGAACTGAAGCAGCACCAGAAAACTCACACTGGAGAAAAACCTTACAAGTGTTCACACTGTGGCAAGAGTTTCAGTCAAATGGGACATCGGAAAATACATGAGAGGATCCACACTGGAGAGAAGCCGCACACGTGTGATCAGTGCGGGAAGAGTTTCACACATCCAAACACTCTTAGATTACATCTCCTTTCTCATTCTGGAGAAAGACGGTATAACTGCGATCAATGCGATAAAACATTTGTTAAGGCAGTATGCCTGAAGGCCCACAGGAAAGTTCATTTAAAGGAGAAACCTTACAAGTGTTCACTGTGTCAAAGGGGTTTTACTCAACTAGGTGCTTTAAAATTACACCAGAAAAGACACAGCGGTGTGAAAGATTATGTGTGCTTCGAATGTGGAAAGACCTATATTACAAACGCTGAATTGAAACTGCACCAGAGAACTCACACTGGAGAAAAACCTTACAAGTGTTCACACTGTGACAGGAGATTCAGTTGGTTAGCATCTCTGAAAATACATGAGAGGAGCCACACTGGAGAGAAGCCGTATCACTGCTCTTCATGCGGGAAGAGCTTTAGTAAATTAGCTTCTCTACACAGTCATACAAAAGGAAAATGTCCAATGGAAGAAAGGCTTCCTTCCATATCAATCTTTCCTAACCAGTTGCAATGAGTGTCTGGACAAAGAACCATGAACGTTTTCCCAGTGAACATGTGTAAGATTCAGATCAACAAAAAAAGGCTATAGCATATTTAAGTGAGTCATGTGTCAGATATATAAATAATACAGATGTAAAAATTAGGCTAGACCTTGTTCTTCTTCCTTGTGCTTACGTGCTTAGATCATCTTGTTCTTTTGCCACTCAAGTCTATTTACCAAATGCAGGTGCAAGTTATACTGTTTTTCTACCATACTGCAGTACAATGCAATATGATGCCAGGATAATGGACAAAGTTCTGATGTCTTGCTGTAACTGTACACATCCGTCTACCAACATAATTTTATAAAGCAATTTATGTTTTAAATAAAATAATTTAAACTGCATATATTGCTCTGTTTTTAACAGATGACTTGGGTATAAACAGAATTATTGTAGACTACTAATTTAAGCAACAACAACAAGATAAGGCAACAAGACAGTGCTAAAGACATGCAGTAGATTTTAAATCTAGTCTATAGCGCCCTCTGGTGACCGATTTATATACATTCGTTGTAATATGTCTGTAAGATGTTTGAATAGGACTCGCTAAAATTTCAGGTACATTGGATTTGAGCAAAATGACAACCCTTACTGTACAGTTTTGTTAAACATTCTTTATTTTTTGATTTAGTTTGTATGTGTATTTGTTAAGTTTTTACAAACGGACGTCGTCTCGCGGTGATGACGTCATCGCGCAGTCCGTCGCGAGTCTCCTGAAGTGAAATGAGGTTTGAGGTATATTTACACACACAAAAGGATATATTTTAATTATATGATTAAAATTGAAATATATATGTTAGACGTTACTGTTAGACACTCCCTAATGAGCCTGTGAGGAGCGGCGCGCGTCGTTTTGAGGTACAAAAACGAGTATCTTGCAAAGTCCCTTTTATAAACTCTTAATATGTAGGTAAATATGACTAAATTGACTCTGGAAACATGAAAATATTGCTTTTATTATCACTATTTTCTGCACATACAAAATAGTAACAAATTAAGTATAATTCTTTTGCTGCTACGAATATAGTTAGAATAAATTAGATTTAAACGGATATTATACTGCTGTGCCTATATATTTACTTATACTACACTGTCAACTGGTCTGAAAATGGGTGTCATTTTTATGTTTTGCTGTATTATTAATTGTTTATTCATCTCGGATTGAGAAGAGAGAGGGAAAAAACACTGACTGAGGCAAACACTATGATCACCAGTTTTGATATACAAGATTTACATATCTTAACAGCATGTATTCTATTATAAAACATGTTATATGTAAAAACACCAAACTAAAAACCAATTACCAAAAATCTGCTAAATGACAAGTTAAATTACGTTGAATGCAATTAAGTGTTATTTGTTGCTTACACATATGTACATTTATTTCTGAATTTATTTATTATTCTTTTTAACCTTACATAATAGTTGGATTATCCACCCAACAATTAACCAATAAATGCTGGAACATTCACATCAGTCTACAAGTGAAGAAGACGATGAGAACATCATGTGATCTGGAACCTTACAGAATGGAACACGAAGATACTGAAGAACAGAGAGGTTAGTGTTTAATCTTGATTCTTCGTTAACGATGCTGAAGACTTAATTCGAGCTGTTTTCATTTTAATCAATATACATTGCTTTGAAACAAGGAACAGGCAATGGAAAGCTGCAGGGACATACAATTAATTTATAAAAAATAAATAAAATTATTATATTATTGCATAGCAGTTGTCTACTTTCTGCTCTTAGACCAGATTAAACATTTCTTACTTTTGTTTTGGAAGAGAATGGGGAGCGGGAAGAACTGAAGGAGAAACATCATCATTTCAAAACTGGAGAAAAATCTTTAAGTCGCTCACAGAATAAAAGTAAATTTGTATTGAAAAAAAGAACCAAAAAATCTTTCACCTGCCCTCAGTGCGGGAAACGTTTCACAAAAAAAGGAGCCCTTAAAGATCACATGAAAATCCATACAGGAGAGAAACCGCACACATGTGATCAATGTGGGATGAGTTTCAGACAAAAAGAATCTCTTAAGGAGCACATGACAATCCACACTGGAGAGAGGCCACACACCTGTGATCAGTGTGGAAAGAGTTTCAGAAAGTCTTGCACCTTTAAAATACACCTGCGTCGTCATTCTGGAGAAAGACCATTCACCTGTGATCAGTGCGGTAAACATTTTTTTAGGTCAGATGCGCTGAAGGAGCATCTGAAAGTTCATACAAAGGAGAAGCCTTACATGTGTTCTTTGTGTGGAAATAGTTTTAGTCAGTCGGGTACTTTAAAATTACATCAGAAAAGACACAACAGTGTGAAGGATCATCTGTGCTTTGATTGTGGGAAGACTTTTGTTAGATATGCTGATCTGAAAAAGCACCAGAGAATGCACAGCGAGGAAAAACCTTTCAAGTGTTCTCACTGCGACAAGAGATTCAAATGGTCAGATTATGTGAAAAAACATGAGAGGATCCACACTGGAGAGCAGCTGTTTAATCTGCCCTAAACAGTTGCAAGAAGTGACAACACAAAGAAACATCATCTGCAGTTCTCAGAGTGATCTTCAAGACCAGTGGTTTAAGTGTGAATGTCTAAGAATATCTTTATTATGATTTTTTTTCTGATTTCTTTATCCATGTTATCCATGCATGTGTATCTCTCTTGGTTCATTTTCTGCCATTTATGAAGGAAAGTAGTTTTTTCTTTCTTTTTTACATGTAAATGTTCTGTGCTCATATCAGCAGAAAGAGAGCGTGCCATTCTCACTGTTATGGTTGTTGAAGTGTTTTAATAAAATAGTTTTCCTGCTATACAAAAAACAATCTGGTGTGTTTTTGATAAAGTACATTTTTGTCTTTCGGTGATGACGTCACAACCAACGCTGCCAGTCATTTTGATCTTGACAAAATGTTTGTTTAAGCAACATTTAAATAATGTTACTGAATGTCAAGTCCAAGTATGAATGTGAATGAAGTTCCCCAAAAAAGACTGTAAAACATGTTAACCCTTTCAGGTTTGTGAGAAATAATAGTATTATAGTGCAGTTTTCCAGCCTCCAGACTCATATAATCTGAAAAGCCTCTTTATCAACCGCTCCCATTTTCGCCTTATTTATTATGCTAATGCCAATGGAGGACCAATCCTGCAGAAATTAAAATTAAATACATAGACAGATAAATTAAGATTAATAATAGGGAATTAAATAAAGGTATAAATGATTTGATAAATGTAATTCATTTGTAATAAATTATTTTTATTGTATTATTATCTTTCTTTTTAACTTGTATTTACTTATTCTTTCATTTATTTATTTATTTGAGAGTTCATGCATAAGCAGAAATGAATGCATAAATAAATACATTTAAAAAGAAATCAATTAAATAAATATATGTGTATAGAAGTAATCAGTAACTACAAATGAGCAAAATAAGTAAAGACGGAGTCACAGAAACAACTGTACAGAACACAACCTTGTGAAAACAACATTTAGGAAACCCCAGGTGAAGTATCTCTGTATTAAAAAAAATTATTTAGTTACCACTTGTAGTACACTTCAACCCATCTTTCATACACTAGTACACTCGTGTACTACAAGTGGTAACCAATTATATTTTTTAAATACAGAGATAGTATGTTATTTTATTTATTTTATTATTTTATTTTATGCCCAGAATAGGACTGAGTGCGCGTTGCTGAGCGCTAAACACATCATGTTTGTTTTGTTCATACTGGCAGCCAGAGGGCACCCTCGTGCAGAAATCCCACATATGCATGACAGAAGTAATAGAACTCATGGCGCTCCAGGAAATCCCTGTTATGGACAAAGGCATCCAGCTATGGCTGTGACTGTATAAAAAGATTGAAATGCTTGAAATGAATAAAAATAAAGACAATAAACCCACGGCTGCGACAATATATGGTTTATCTGTTCTCCAGGCCATCTTGGGTATTTTCATAATAATAAAGTACATTTATAATCCATTGCTAATCGACATAGCCTTTATTACAGCATAGAATAGCAGTTATTTCAAACTTTTGACTGATGTGGTGTAAAATCATGTTATTAAATGTACTCTTTTGTTGGACATTAGGTTTATAAACGCTTCGGATTCTCATTAAGTTTGGGGAGATGTTTGGCGCGTGTTGCTTTTTCAAATGCACATTGTAAGTGACTCAAACTCACAGCGCTTGCGGAGGTGAGCAGCATTTACTGACGCTGCGTGACATACAGCACCAATAGATGGCTGTAATGCACTATTTTAGTATGTGATCTTGTAGGAAGATGCTGCGCTGCTTCAGTCCATTGCAGGTTCATAAAATAATATGTAGCTATTGTCACGCTACTTGCTGGAAAAAGTAGTTAACTACTGGGAAAGCTATACTGTTTTAAAAGTAGCTGAGCTACTGTCAAGCTACAGAAAAATGCAGTTATTTTAGTAGCGTCACTACTTGTAGCTAGCTACTCCCCAACACTGTGTACGTGTCATTTACACTTTCTTAATAAATGCGATTAAATGATTTAGGGACTAAATGAGGATTAAATGGTTTATCAACAGCGAGAGCTTACGGAGAGAAAACTGGTGTTATATGAGTTAAACGGATAGTGTCATTTGAATTGAAATGGAATTGAAATTGTTTTTTTTATTTGTTTTTGTTTTGTAAGAGTTTCATTCATTACTCACTCATACACAAATGTGTTATTCATATCATACTTTCAGCATGTATCTAGAGTCAAATAATCTGTTTCTACTGCAAACACTTATAATAAAGTGAGATCTCAACTGATGATGCTGTAAGGCTTGTTTCAGGAGTATCACTATTAAGAGCTGCTTAAAAGCATCTTTATTTTCATCTCAGTAGTTTCTCTTTTCAACCCATTTATGATGCTGATGCGTTTAGATCATGTTTAAATTGCTACTCAAAGCTCATTTCATTGGTACAACAGACCAAGACAAACTACATGATCACCACTTTTGATATTTACAAGATATACATCTAACTGCAGTTATTTTCCTATAGTCTGTGAAAAACATTTAGTATAAAAACAGAAAAAACTAAAAACAGTGAACAAAGTTCATGTAAATGGCAGGTTCAATTACCTTTAATTTAATAAATTACATTTTCTTTTGCAATCCATCTCTGTGAAACGTCTTGTAATGTACACACACACACACACACACACACACACACACACACCATTCGCTACTTCTGATGGAATACAAATAGCCTGGACATAGATGGTTGGTTTATACTTCCATTTTTTATTCTTATTTATATTTGGATTCTTTTAATTTCATTGTTCATATTTTTGTATGGTTTAAGAACAATAAAAATAAATTAAGTAACTTTACAATTTGATAGATTTATAGTTAAACAACATAAATGCTTAAAATGTTTTAATTCACACACAAAATAAATAAATGAATAAAGTAGGCTAACTGATTTACTTTAGATTTTAGGCAGATCTGCATCTCCTGCCACAGAACAATTCAGAAAGAGTCCAAATGATGTCATTTCCTGTGGGATGTAGTGACATCATTTTGAATTTGAAGATGTGCTCTGTTTTTTTTAAATGCTATGCTTTTGCATAATATTGTATAGCATTTTTCCAATTTCTGTTGTATTATTTCAAGGTTCACTTGTATGTCCTTTTCCTTCACATTTACTAAAAATGAAACTTTTTTACTTTCATTTTAGACCTGATGGAAGAGAATGCAAAGAGTGAAGAACTGAGTGAAGTGGAGGAGAAACTTCAGGTCAAAATTGAAGAAAAATGTTTGAGTTGCTCACACACTACAAGTAATTTTTCATTGAAAACAAGAGCATCTTTTACATGCCCTCATTGTGGGAAGAGTTTCTCAAACAAGCGAAGTCTGGGACTTCACATTAGAGTTCATAGTGGAGAAAAACCCTTCACATGTGATCAGTGTGGGAAGAGTTTCAGAAAGTCATGCACTTTTAAATCACATCTGCGTTCTCATTTTGGAGAAAGACTATTTAACTGTGATTACTGTGGTAAGAATTTTTTTTAGGGCAGATTTCCTGAAGGACCACCTGAAAGTTCATACAAAGGAGAAGTCTTACGTGTGTTGTTTTTGTGGAAGGAGTTTTGGTCAAATAAGTAGTTTAAAAGTACACCAGAAAAGACACAGTGGTGTGAAGGATCATATGTGTGGAAAGACTTTTGTTAGAGATTCTGAACTGAAACTGCAGCAGAGCACTCAACACTGGAGAAAAACCTTACCAGTGTTCACACTGTGACAAGAGATTCAAACTGTCAGATCATCTGAAATCACACGAGAGGATCCACGCTGGAGAGAAAATGTATCAGTGCTCTCCATTTCCATGGGTTGTTCCCAAATGAACAATATATAAAAAGTTGGGTAACACTTTATTTTGATGGTCCCTTTTGAACATTCTGTTGACAATAAGTAATGTTGCACCTACATGTCTACCGACTCTCATCAGAGTATTAGTAGACTGTTTGCTAATATCTGCTAACTCTTTATTGTCATGGTCTCCCAACAGACATTCTACTGACTATAAGTAACTTTGCAAATACATGTCAACTTATTCTAACCCTAACCCTACCAGTCTACTAATACTCTAATGAGAGTTAATGACATGTAGGTGCAACGCTACTTATAGTCAACAGAATGTGTTAAAGGGACCATCAAAATAAAGTGAAACCAAAAGTTGTATTATATACTATTATATAATATACTAATATAATAATAATATAATTCAAATCCTTATGCTTCCTTATGATTTTTGTATTTTGTCCATCTCAAATTTTAATTTCTTATAATGCATGTGTATCCTTTTTCATTTACTCTTTTATTAAGGAAACCATACATTTAAAAAATGTTCTGTGCTCATAACAACAGAAAGAGAGCAGCTGGAATGAAGACAAGCAGTTCAACCTAATGTGCAGTCCTTTTTTGCATTGGGTATTCTGCCGTTTGTCCGTCTTTTATGAATATTTTTTCATCTTTTATGAGTATGGTGTTTTACTGAACTTTTAAAGAGGTGAGTAGCCTAGCATTGTCACTGATTGGCCTAAAACACTCAAAACAAGCACTACAAAATACACAAATTACATACACTACATAGTAGTGTAGTTTAGATGACATTTTCATGAACTCATCTCTATTTGGTTTTTATAAGGTTTCATTGTTACGTATCTGCATGCTATGGCTGTGCTCTCGTGACATTTACATAATTTTGACCAGCAGGTGTCACCAGAGCACGGTGATATGAGCACTTCGAAGCAAACGTTCCTATTTTGATACGGAATTTCGATGAGCTTCATCACTGCCATTAATATTATGCACACAGTGTTTAGAGTTCTGAATGATGGATTGGTTTTGCTTTGACTGTTACTGGTGTTTAACTCCTTTGTGTTGTGGCCACAATGTTTTGCAATGCATCTCTAAAATAGTTTTGACAGTAGAATCACAATGTAAATACTTCATAAAATACTAAACCAGACCTAAGCAATATGTCAAACATAATCCTGTGAGTTTCACATAAATATTCTGCACAGTTCTCCAGCATGAAAAGCATGTGCCTGCCAGAGAATGCCAAGTAGGCCTATATGTTGCTGCAGCTTGGGTATCCTCCAAATGGAAGAGGCCTTTGCCATGCATGTAGGCGGAGACCCTCAAGTTAGTGGGGTCAAATTTACAGGTGGGGTTAGGTATGACCTTCAGTGCAAGCCATTTGTAGTCGTCTATAGTCCTACCCATTTT